CATTTGTTTAGAAATAAATTTTCATTAAAATACATTCTTTGTATTATGTTTACTAGTAGTTTGCATTAAACCCCAACTAATGTTTGTGTAAAATGAAACAGTCCTTGACATTGTAAGTTTATTTTCTTTAATATGTCTGTATAGTAGAAATCCTGAATTAAGTGGTAGCTATAATAATATGAAGAATATCCCTTTCACCCTTTGAAAAAGGCAGCGCGATATTTCTAACCACAGCATTAGTATGGTTGATAATGGTAAAAGAACATTGTGTTACTATTTTCAAGTGCTTGCCTGACCATAGTTATAAAATGCCAAGTATTTTTAATGTGCGTTTGAGATTACGAGAGAGTAGAGATGTACACCCAGTTACATAAGGCAGGGGTATGTATTTTTCTTCCAGAATAGGACACTCTGGGTCTAGTTATTAAGTGACTACACCAACGAAAATTTCATTCCCTTGTAAAAGGAAGAAAAAAGCCCCTTAGTACTTTATTCAAACAAAGCCTTGTTATGTTCGTAAAAACAAATCAACTTTACGTTTTGAAGGGGTATCATGTAGAAAAGTGCACTCTCATTCTACGGCTAGTATTTCTTTTTCTGGGTAGAGCTGTCCCAGCCCTCGGCAGAGCACTTGGCCTGCCAAGTGGAACTGAGAAGAGTGGAACATTCTAGGAGGCTGGCGCTGGATGAATTTGAAAGCCGTAGGCAGATTTTGGAAAAGCAGCTACAAAGTGAGGTAAATTATTCTTTTTAAATAATTTGAATCCTTTCTTCTTCCTGTCGTCTTGTTCACGTTTATCTATGTACCTGTGCAGGCCATTTAGTGTGTAGTTATGGGGATTGTTTGTATTCTGCTTGGTTTTATGTAAACAACTCTAAAAGAAAACAAAACAACACTAAAAAAAACAACCAAAAAAAACCCCAAACCCAACGTAACCAAAGTAAATCTTTCCAAGTCAGTAAGTTGTCAGCACTGACTTCCAGTAGGATACGATGTGTATATGGTTTGACTGGACCTGAAAAATATTTAGAAACAAGTATTCAGCCAGCTGAGATTCTTCTTTTTGTTTGAATTATGCTGGTTTTTGTTTTTCTCTTGATCTGCTGTAGGTTGAGCGTTGTGCCCAGTTAAAGACCCAACTGCTGGACTCCGAAGCTACTGTCAGGAAGTTAAACGTGCAGGTTGAAGAACTGAAACTGCAAGTGAAACAAACGCAGGCAGGTTTGTATCTTACACTGGAGCAGTCCTTTTATGAAGTTCACTTACCTAACCAGCGTAAGAATTTCCAGAAGCTTAAAAAAGCTGCAGTTGCATAGAACTAATATACCACCAGTGAGTAGATTTCAAGTTTAAAATCAAAATCTATTTAAAAGCCCAATTTAAAAAACAGACTGATTACAATTTTCCTTCCTTTCAGAAAACAAACATATAGGAGGAAGGGAAAACATTCCTCCCTGAATACTTGCATGCTGTTATTGTCTGGTTTTCCTCAGTATGAAGACATTAATGTTTGGTGATAACATAATCACTGTTTTCCAGGAGGCGAGTTGTGTTTTAATGCATTTTGGTTCTTGAATGTTCCTGATAAGAATAATCAATTTGAAATTGTATTGTGTACCTCACAAATTTAAATCTGACTTTTAGACAGTTGTTGTCAAGGCTAATAACTTATGCACTTCGTATGGGCATTAGAAAGAGAAGGGCACTTGCATAAAGCCATTCAGTCTGCTGAAGAAATGTAGTTCTAAAGATACCTCTCTGTCAAATTGCTAATATCAAGTATGATAAATAAAAGTTTTGGAATTGAATTCTGCAATGATTATTCATTACATACAGCATGTGTTGTACCATAGTTCAGTATATGCAATACTTTATATTATTCACTAGACCAATATGTACATTTTCATATATGGTACAGGTATCAATATCATTTGGAACTGGAAATATGTTAGTGTCAAAATTAAATGACTGAAAGAACTGCATGGACTTTTATTTTGCATCAGGGTTAAGGATGTCATTGAAGAACCATTTACGTAGCATAAAAACAAGGTTGTCATTTTGCTGAGAAAGATGCAGCCCTATAGATTGGTCTTTTGGGCTTGCTGAAGCATACAAGTGCAAGCCTGGAAGCAGACAGGCACGAAACATTCAATTTAACTGGCAATTTTGGAGAAGTACTTTTTTAAAAAAAAACAGCAACATTATCCATGTGCTATGTTGTTTTTCTCCAAATTTCTTTTTTGATCTAAAGAGAAGGAAACTGTTAACACTGTGGCCTGCCCTATGTCCCTCACCCTTTAACAGCGTGATTGGATATAATGCTTCCAAAGTGGTGTTTTAATTTTTATTTATTTATTTAAACATAATTTAAGAAATAACACTGTAGAGTGCATACTTTAGGTAGTTTTACATGGAAGGATTATATATTAAAAAAATAATATCAGTGATAATTTGCAGCTGTGCAGCTATATTAAAAATACATGTAAATCAACACATTAAATTCTCAAAATTTAAGCCAATTCCAAGTTAAAATAATATTGATCAAATTGGAATTTAAATGCTGTGTTTTACTGTTTCTGTTTTGTTATGGGTCTCCCTCTCACTCTTTACTGTCACTCGCTTTCTCTTGCATTTAGCTCTGGAAAATGAAGTGTATCGGAATCCAAAGCCTTCGCTTGTTGATCGCTCTGTCCTTGACTTCACTGGTGACAGAATTGTACCTCATGATATTTATGTGGATAGCGGGTTCCTGAAGAATCATGTTATGACCGATGTGATGAAGGTAAATGCTGTGCCAAGAGCTGGCTGTCATCAGCAGTTACAGCCACGCAGTGCTTCTCCGGATTCTGACCTGGAGTGTATGGCGCAAACGTGGGCTAGAATAAAAGAACTAGAAAAAGAGGCAGAGTATTTGGAAGAAGCCTACAGGAACTACCAACACAGAGTCACGCAGGATGCGGCTGCAAGCAGAACACCGAGAAAGATGCAGTCCCCTTTACTTCTACAGTGTGCTATTAGTAGACCCCCCTTGACTACCCAGCATGAACTTCTAGAGGATAGTCGCAGCTGCCAGCATTCCCCCCTGAGCAGTCCAAGAGGTGAAAAATACATCAAAAGAACTGGGCAGGTTGATGTCTTTAAAAATCCGTTAACGCCACCACACAGAGGAGTGTCTTCTTCAAGACGCCTTTCTTCTACTCCCGTTTCCAAGTTGGAAAGAGATCTCAGTAACAAGAAAATTTCAGATGGTAAGTCATGATTGTTAATGTGGTGTGGTATTGGGGTTTTACTTAGTGTTCCTCTTGCGCTATGGGAAGAGAAGGGTTTAGCAGTGATTGTCTTTCACTCATTTGTTATTTGCTAAGAGGCAGCAGAAGTCAGAGACAAAATATGCTAGCTGTTTGGAGTGGTGCTTCTTCATGGAAACAAGTACTGGAGAAGTACACTGAGGGACGCTAAACATACTGCACTTAGTTCAGGTAGCTTTAAAGAGAAGACTATGCCATAGACTTCGCTACAGGTGTAACTTTATGATATGCAGAGTTTAATTCAAAAGTTGCTATTAAGTGTAACTACTTTGCAACATTAATTGTAATTTCCTAGTTTTAATAACCCTCCCTCTGTATTCCTATGTTTTCATTTAGCTATTATAGTTAACATGTGTGCAGCAGAAGACTGCTTCATCTGGCTTCTCTTAAATTGAGTTTTCCAGTCTGAAAGGTCCAGATTTGCTTTTGTTTGTTCTTTTTGCTGTGACATCTTTATCATATGTTCCTGAGCAGTTGGGAGGGGGAGGGGATTAGTGTTTGGTCATGATTGGAAAATTGTAATTTGCTATTAATTTCACAGTGTCTAATAATTACTTAATATTTTTTTAAAAGGGGCAGTACTCAGAAAAGCAAGCAAAATAGAAAAGAATTGAAAATTAAAAAAACCTTTTGTTTCAAATCTGCGGTACATCTGCTTCTTGAGTCATGAAATTCTCATCACCGTAGCTCAAAGTGGATTTAATAGGACAAAAAAAAGAGACAGTAACAAAAAAAAATATAATTAACATCTTCTGCATGAAGGAAGGTTAAATATAAGAAGGGCAGCTTAGTTTGGAAAAGAGTTGGCTGAGGTGGGCTGTGGGAAATCTGGAAGGCAATGAGTGATGTCGAAAAGGCGAAAAGGGATCGGTTAATCACTGCTTCACAGACCCTGGAATTCTATGAAATTGAAAGGAAAGAGAAGGAAGTACTTTTTCATACCATGAGTAAGTTGTGGAATTTATTGCTTCTGTGGCAACAAGTACAGATGTAGGAATAAAACTTCCCTGTCAGAAGGGCCCAAGTATTGATTGAGGAAAGGTCGGGGCAGATATTGCCAGAAGATACAAATATTCTCCTTTTTGAATTTTAGTTTAGTTTTGTTTAGTAATGGGTGCTGTTAGAAACACGCTACAAACAGCCTGCCTGATCTATTGTGGCTGTCTCTGTGTTTCTACAAGTAGAATATCACGCTCTGTTACTGAAAACGTATTTGAAAATTTTAACTTCCAAAGCAGTCTTCTGAGTTTTACCTTTTCTCTGTATTCAGCTTGTATATAAACTACTTGCAGGCTACTCGTTTAATACTGTACACACGAAAAATCTTTCATAAAAGTAGGGTTTTGTTGTAAAATTAGGAAATATCAAAATTAAAGTTGTGTGCATAACTTTAACAATCCCTCCTGTCTTTGTACCTGCCAGAGGCTTGTTACATGATGGCTGATCTGTTTTTTCCATTGGATCTGTTCTGTGCTTAATGCACAAGACTGACTTTTTCCGAAGAGTGATAAGGGTTGAATAACAGAGGAGGATATTACCTGACTTAGGTGTTACAAAAATTGAATGGTATGTAGCGTAGGAAACCGGGTTGCAGGTGTCATGCACGTGAGTCTGAGATTTGATTTTCCTTTAAGTGAGGGACACCACAGTCAACTCATTTAACGACAAGCTGCAGCGCAGTTGTCCGCACCTATCTTCGAAGGATGAAAGGAAGAAGCATGTCCGCCTGTAAAATACTTGGAGTTTGCAGATCTAGCAGCTCTTTTACTGTATAGTCTGCCAGTGGAAGGGTATGCAGTTTTCTCTCTTCCTTTAAATTATCTCACGTATTCAACTGTTTTCCTTCCCAAGCCCGTGCATGTTGGCCATCTTTCAAGGCTTTGCCTTTCTACTGGGAAGAAGTAAGCCCATTTCTTTAAGAACAACTAAAAGTAGGACAGGGTCCTTTTCTGTTTTCCCCTGCTTACTGTCTCCAGTCTCTGGACAGAAACACAGATCAAGAAATAGTTACTGAGAAAAAAAATTTGGATTGCCATCTGACCCATGCTCCCTATTACTTTATTGGTACTTTTCACCTTGATCATTATTTGAGCAAACTTCATACCTTCTGATGAGAAAGAGCAAGGCTGGTGAGTCTTGCAGACAGCATACTGTGAGCCATAGACCTCAGCTATTTGTCTTTTAGTAGAAAATCAGTAAGTTCAATCCTAGATAATTTCAAATAGTAGTAGGTTGTAGTAAATTACCATTTGAGATGTCTGGTGTGCTACCTGTGTCCTACCCTGCAGTACATGTTATGCTGAGGAGGCGCATGCGGTCTATGTACTGTTCTGGTCCATTTGTTCCGCATGTGAAAATTTAACAGGTCGTTTTATAAAAGACTGGATGCGGGTGGGCTGAGGGTTCCCGCCACAAACAGGTACTGCTGATACACGAGGACGACGTAACTGCTGGGTCCTGTTCTGTTAGTGCTCAGCTTCCTTAGAGGGTGTTTGTCTGTGTTGCGTGGGTGTAGGGGCTGTCTGGAGATAAAAATCTACGGGCAGCCTTGGTCTGAAGCATCCTGGCTTCTGTGGTGCGTGGGTGCACTTCTGTACAACCACCTGAAAGAACTTCAGGTATGGGAGTGTTAACAATGGCTTTTCCTCTATCTCTTCAGCCAAATTAGCACCGACTGTAGTAAAAGTTATTTGGTCAATAAAGAGAAGAAAAACAACAGTACCTGTGTGCTGAGTGAATAACAAATCTTGTGGAAAAAAAAAGAATAATTCATAGTCTAGTAATGAAAGATCTGTGCAGCTGCACAGGAAAGGAAAATCAAGATTGCAAAGCAAAATTTAAGTGAAGTGCTGGACTTTGCAAGTTTGATTAGAAGCCTTTTTAATACAGGGGGTTTGGTTTTTACCTTGGTTTCCTAGGAAGTTCAAGATTTCTCTGGTCATATTGTCTACCTGTTTTCCTTCCCTGATAACTTTACAGCTGTTGATAAGAGGATAAAATCTTCAAAGATTTTCTTCTTTGCTTCGTCACTAATTTTAATAAATTTGTAGAAAATGAAACCTCCAGGTTAATTTTCCTAATGAAGAACGGCCTTTGGGAGACCTCACACATTATCTTTTGCTGGCTAGTAAGCACATCCCTAGCTTGAAATCTGGGTCTGTAACTGCTTTCTCTAATGCCCAGCATGGGAGAAATTATTTGGTGTTTGGCAGAGGGGCTGCAGTTTATGGGGAACATAGGTGTATAATGGGGTGATGATAATCATAGGCTTTGTGAGGAGTAAGTTTATGATGGTGAAGGCTTGCAGAGGAGAACTGCCATACAGGAAGGGTAAAAAAAGCCCCAAAACCAAAAAAACAGTAGAAGAAAGTTCATGTTAATCCTGGTAGATTTGGATGTTAGTTGCCCAGTGGTGGTCAATAGTGGTGGTGCCTGCACAGTCCAATTATGCATGTGTTGTAAAAACCAGCCTTGTCTGAGAAGTGGTAGGATAAATAACTGACTAATACAAATTGTGGGATTTTTATCTGCAGACATCAGTGGCTCGTACCTTGTCTCTTCACAGCAGAGTGTTGACCAGGTGCTTTCTCCTATTTCAAAACCTATTTCATCTTCTGAATCTGTTTCTTCCTCACCATCCAGTCATGGCGGGAAAATCAGGTAATGTCAATTACAAAGCAATACTTTTAACCTGCTTTTTAAAGAAACATTTATCTAACTGACCATGGTGATAGCTGCTTTTACAATTCAAGTAAGCCATTAATTTTGTAAGTGAGAACTCTTCTGAAGATGGATAAGGATTTCCATTCTTCAGTATCGTGCCTCAAGAGGAACTTAGTTTTAAAAAAACCAAACACACCCTCCTCCCAAATCAAAACACCTTTGGCAAATGTGATTTGACATTTCCACCTCTGTTAAATTTGTGCTTCCTTACAGTGCAGTTATGTGCAGTGAAATACTTAAACCTCAAGCGCATTGGAAACTTCAGACGAATGCAATTTTTTTTTTGGGGGGGGAAAAAACAAGTCCTATGACAAAGTAAAACTTGATTGATTTACAAAGTGTTTTGTAAAGTCATTTCACTGGTGTAGTTGAGCAAGGATGAAAGGTTATTCCAAAGATGCCCTCTGTTGGAGAGAAACAATAATGGTAGCACTAGCTCTAGGGCCTAAAAAATCCACTGCCATGGAAAGTGCTAGGCAAAGGACGAAAAAGCCTGGAGAGTGAGAATGTGAGGCATACTAAGTGCATGTTAGTTTAATGCAGATAGCAAATTGATAAATACCCATCACTGAAACTTAGCTCAAATTCTGCTGTTTAGGGATATTAGTTCCTCTGTGATTAAAACACTTTTTAGAACTGCTTCTCAGCACTTTCAGTTTGTACTGCTTCAACCAGTGTAAGTATTGCTTTGTTACTGTATGTGACTTCAAAGATAGAAGGTGGTTCATTTGGTGTGTGCTGTCACCACTAAGGCACACCTGACAGATACAGGTCATACAAAGTTTAGGTGTTCCTAGGCTCAGGTCAGGCTGATTTAATTTGGTGGTTTTCAGTCTGCTATAGATACCTCCTTACATGTAGCTCCAGATTTAACAATAAAATTCTGCTTTTCCCCTTCTTCTCTGCTTTTCATATGTCAGTGTTCCGATGAACTTTTGAAAGCATTGGATGCTGTTATTTAAAGCAAGGTGTGTTGTGGATCCTCATATTTCAAGAGAGCAGCAAGTTCTGCAGTGCTTGAAATCTATTGGGTCAGTGTAGACCACCTCTTCAATTGTACTTCCTTACACAGTGCACCACTTTCGGACGGCTGAATGAAAAATTCATTGTTAATAAATAAATATTCTGTTGATAACTAATTTCAGAAAATGTGTTTTCTAAGAGTTTCCTAAAAATTTAAAATCTGTTCCTAAAAGTAAGTCTGAGTTAAACAACAGCTGACTTGCATGCCTATGTATAGTATCTATGAAAAAATCTTATTTTTTAAATATGTGAGGGATGTATGCATATGTCCAAGATACATCTGACTTCACCTGGTGTCCCATAACTTTGGACCATATTGATAGTTTAAAAATTTAGAATACTTTTTTGAGTAAGAATAATGCCTGTACTGTGTTGCAAATGGGAATGTGAAGGTACTCCAGTGGCCAATTAACTGACTATCACTTGGCATGTCTTACTTAAAACAAACCTATCAGAGGTCCGCACCCTCATATGAATTGCCTGAATGTGAACGTATTTTTAGCGGTTTGCTGTCATGGGCTCTTTTGGGATTTCACAGGTTTGATTCCTCTAGTAGGCTTCTGTGCCATCCATATAAATGTGACCCTCATGAGGCTAACAAGAACTCCTGCTGACATTGTAGGCTAATTTGAGAACAAGCTTAATTTCAGAAGACGACCATGGGTCTTCAGAGGGGTAAACTTCATGTTTCAATGACTTGCAGTTTTACCTTTTTCTTGAAAAATTATTTCAAGTTCATCACAAATTCTTGTCCAAAGTAGTGATAATCTCTCGTCTTTCCCATATCAGAACAGGCCTTTTGCATATGCTTGATGTTCAAAAGCATTTTTTTTTAATGCATATTTGATGCACACAAAAACCCTTAATCGTAAAAGGCCACTAATTTCTTGAGCAAAGCTACGTATCTTTTATTGTGTCACTGTTTTTCACATCTGCGACCTGACTGATGAGCTTTTGCTGATTGAAGCTCGGTAGTTTCTGCTGTCTGTCTGAGAATTTAAATCAAGGCAGTTGTACATCTTTATTCATTAACAAGCTGTAATGCTAACGTTTTTTTTCTCTGAAGAGCTTGTTCATGCGCCTGTATAACTGTTTCCAGAATAGGAATCTCCAGTCTCCTTTGCATGTGGGAAGGGGATGGGTAGCGGAACTTTTCTCTTTTCCTTTTATTTTTTTTTTTTAAGGTCTCTCTTAAGTAAATTAATAACTTGGCAAAATTAAGCTGCATAAAAATCACTTCTCTTTCCTCTCTGTATCTCCTGTTTCCATGTATGAAATTCTTCTGTTCTTAACGGTCACTGCTGCCTCCACTCTCCAAAACTGAGAATCCTGAATAGGTGTCTTCAGAAAAAGCTGGAGTATTTAATTTTTAATGTTTCTTTCCTAAGAAGAGACACTTGAATTGGCCTTAACCTGCTAGCCATCATTCCAGATTTGATGGCTGAAGAAAGACGGCTTATCCTGGGGCAGCTGTAGCAGTCATTGATAGGGCTTTCTTATTTTGTTGTTTTGATCAAGTCCTCAATATACATTTAATGTAGAGAGGGTCTCTTTTGTGGTTAGAATTTGGGGAGAGCCTTTATGTTCTTGGCCTTGAAAAGAAGCCATTGGGATTTCTAGGGACTGTGAGATTAGTTCCTTCAAGTGGCTGTCTCTCCTTTCCCTGCTCATTCACGTTTTCTACAGTATGCCTCAGATGTCCTGTATTCCTGTGACGGACCATACAAAGTGAAGGTTGAGTGTTAACCTGCATGTTAAGGTGATATGGGAGAATGCTCTAACACTGTGAGGGACTGTACTGCTTTGAAGGATGTCGTAGAGTCCACGCTGCCTGAAGAGTGAACAGTATGAGCAAGCTGGGTTGCAAAGAACAGGCCAGGGTCTGGGCAGGCAGCTATGGGTTGTAGTTGCTTTCTTGGGTTCCTCATGACAAAGCAAGGGTATGAGGTCCCAATCATTTTCTTAAACTTTCTGCTTTCCCAAGACTTTCTTGAAGGGAAAACATTCTTTTGTTGAGTATTTTTTAATTTTTTGTGCCTTGGACTGTTTTCTGTTACATAAAATATTTGAGAAATGCATGTGTGGGCTTTCCCAGGTATTTACTCTCATTATTAGGCAAATACCACATCATTGATGTGTATTGTGGGATTAGTTTATGATCTGTAGATTTTAAGTGGCAATGGGAACTTCTTTGAAAAGAAAAGAAAAGAAAAAAAAAATGCGATGCTGTAACACCAGTAAGCCATTACGAGTTAGATCTCTGTCAGTGGGGAGGAACAACTTCTTCTGTGACTACAGGAGGTCCTTGTTTGTTTATGTTTCAAGATATGAGTGGTATGAAGGAAGCCAATAAACACAGACAGGAAGACTAGAGTTATAAGACAGATTATTATCTAAACCATTCCTTTTTTGGTTAGGGCTGTAGAAACCGATTGTGAGGTTCGTTACTAGTTTTAGGCAAAAAAAGTAATTTCAGACATTAACAAAATAGTTTAGATGGTGGTTGTTTTTTTCATAGAATCATAGAATCGTTAAGGTTGGAAAAGACCCTTAAGATCATTGAGTCCAACCGTTAACCTGTCACTGCCAAGTCCACCACTAAACCATGTCCTCGAGCACCACGTCTACCCTTCTTTTAAATACCTCCAGGGACGGAGACTCAACCACTTCCCTGGGCAGCCTGTTCCAGTGCCTGACTACCCTTTTGGTGAAGAAGTTTTTCCTAATATCCAACCTAAACTTCCCCCTTCCCCTTCTCATCCTTTTGTTTAAGCTTTAATGGTAATTATAAGCATAATTCACGCTATTTAATCATTTGGTGTTGATTGGCACGCCAGTACTGTTTTATGGAGTATTGACATTAGGTACAGTCCCGGGTTTGGTTGCCAGCTTTGTTTGATGGAAAGAATTTTGAAACCTGTTTGGAAATACATGTGTTTACCAGTCTTCATGAGGCAGACCTCTTCTTTTTGTTGAATCTGAGGCGGTGTATTGACTGTCTTTCTAGCAGTGTTGCAGGACACAGTATTGAAGAAAGTGACATGCATGTCCTTGAGCCTTGCATCCTTAAGAATTATTTACCACTGAACCATTTTTGTGAAGGAAAGACTAAAAACATGAAGTAGACTTCCAAAAACTTGGTTCCATTTATTCTGTTGTATTTAATGTACAGGGTATTTTTCCCCACTGACGTTACTGAACTGTCCTTCTGACAATGCAGATCTATTTGTTTGTCCCCAGATTTACATTTTTTTATTCAACGTGTCTCATTGTGGGAGTGTGTTTTGTTTGTTCTCCACTTTTGCTCCATAGAAGACCTGAATTCCTTGGAAATTGTAAGCACAAACATATTTATGCCGTGGCGAAGAGCACCAGCTGGTGTGAAGTAAGCTCTTTTATGAAGTGCTGCTGCTGAATTTCATTAGGGACCTGCGCTCCTTTTGCTATTCTGGCTCTGGTCAGAGTTAAGTAGCTGGGTCACGTGAGAGATATTGTTCTTTCACATTATCTTTCTGATGAGATAAATGGGGATTTAGAATGAGGGCACTAACCCCGTTTTTCATAGCACCCAGATTTTCACCCCTGCATATATGTTTTGCCGGATGTCTAATCCTAATACATTTGAAACACGTCTGTTAAGATGACATCAAAATGGGAATTAGACTGTAACACAGAACCTAAATAGGCAAATTTCATAATTTCAGTTAACTAAGTGCCACACTTCATTGTATTTCGCTTTTTTTTTTTTTAACTCCTTTTGAGAGTGTATTTTGTTTTAGTGTAATGCCTTTATGTCATATATAGGCCTTGGAGTAAGGCTGCAGCAAGATGGCTATCAGAGACATGGAGCTAACTTTTTGAGTCAGAAAGTTACAGCATTTTGGTTGCATGGTTTTTACGTTTGGTTTAGTCTGTTGCTAATGTGAGTAATCCTTGTATTTAAATCTCAGATTGCTATTCACTTAAAAGGTTAGCATTTATATTTATTTAATTATGTTCTTCCTTCTTTCAGACTTCATAATCAACAAACAGATAAACAAGATTTCAGTGATATCCCCAAACCAGAGAAACTAATGTATGAGGACCTTGAAGAACACATTTCTTCTCTTGAATGTAAGTTTTAGTGCATTTTAGACAGTTTGTTTAATACCTTAGGGCTTAACAATTGTAAGACAGTTGTCTTGATAGTTTAAGACACTAGTTGGAGAGAAAAAATTCTGACTGATGTTGGAAATAAAAAACCCAAACTGTCTCAGATGATGAGGGATTCATTTTCTTCATATTTGCATCTTTAGAGGACAAGGGTATGTGGTAATAAGTAGACACTAAAATCAAGTTGGTTCTGAAATTTGGGAACATACTTTTTTGTTCAGAAGTCTTGCATAACCTTGTTCTGATGAATGCATGTAGATCTGACAGTTGTTTCAGAATGTTTTAACAAAGTGTAGGATTTTTTTTTTAAAACAGCAAAGTGTACTAGTATCCAGGCTAACTTGAGGGTCTATTATATTTGCTGCATAAAGTAAAACTCCAAGGAGTGGTCATTGTGGACCAATATCAGAGCAGTATTACCAAGCTGTAATTCCAAAGATAAGTTTCTGCAGCCATTACATATACTCTTGTTGATTTTTCCTTCAGTAACTGAAGGTTAAATAGTATTATGAATTAGAAGTTACTTTAGAAGTATGCGTAAATGTGCGAAGAACACTTGCAATTATGCTGTCATTAATCAGCATCTCTGAGTAGTTTTGGAACACATGTTTCAGTTACTGAAACAGGAATTTTATCCTAACTTTTTTTATTCCTCTGAGGTCAGCATTTTATTTATTTACATTTCCACTCTGTTGATTGCAGGAAGAACTTTGTCATTATGTGGTGATTGCATGCTAGAAAATGTTTCCTTCTCTCTGTATGCTGTAGTCAAGCCTGCAGGGTCAGTTTTCAAAAATTTTTGATGTGACTAAGGTACTGTAGAAAGAGGAGGATAAGAAAAGTTAATGCACTTTATAGCAATTTGTACATGGAGGGAGAAATCGAAGCAGTTACTGGCTTTATTTCCTAGTTTTTCAGCATTTGAGTGGGATCTTAATGTTGGACCTGAGCAGCCTTATCTCCCATGAAACCATGGGTTTAAAGTAAGTGAAATTGTCAATGAAAAAGATGTGAACAGTAAGCTAAACGCCTTTCCCATTTACAAATTTTGTTAGGTCTGTAAAGTCTTGAGACTGGTGGAGATATGTCATTGGGTAGTATAATTAAATTCGTAGTTGGTGAAGAGATTATAATTATTGTATAGGAGAGTTAGAATCACTGATTTCAAAGAAGATATTCCTAACTGGTGTGAGTGTTTTCCTGGGTCCGAGACTCGCTTATTCTTTTGGTTGTGGTTAGGTTGTATGGAAAATGGAGTGATGTCCTTGCTCACTCTTCTGAACTTGTGAGAATATGGCTTTCAGTATTTTAAAAACCAACCAACCAAAGAAAAAAGATACTGTTTGTTTAAACAGCAAATGTGCTGATAGTGTTTAGTGATAACTAGCAGAAGCTGATGACTCATCTATGCGTTTCTCTGAAGTTTTACTCAGTACGTTTGTTGTTTTTTAATTTAGCTCATTTAGTTTTCTTTCTGTAAGCTTTAAATGCATTATTTGAATGTGAACCGAGCCTGTAGCCGCTAATGGTTTCTACTCATCTCGTATTTTAATTAGACTTAGATTTATTTGTTTAATTTCGTATTAGAGAATTCTGGGAATACATTACATATTTCACTTTTATTTTATCACATATGAGAATAGACTGGCATTTTCTTGGCAATTAGGCCTGAGTAGCTGCTGTGTCCAAATAAGTCACCACTGTATCATTTACAGTGGTAGTGGTAGTCAAACGTGTGGTAGTCAAAAGAATAATTTTAAGTTTGCATATGCCAGTGATTTCTAAATCAGCAGTACTTTAGTTAGGTCAGACGGCATCAAAAGACAATCTCAGTATGTAGAAGGAAATCAGAATGGCTATAAAGAGGAGAAGGTAACCCAGGAGGAATTGGGGGAGGAATAAGTATGTAAAATCTAAAAAGTAAACGTAGAATAAGATATAATAAAGGAAGAAGTTGATAAGAGTTGAAAAAAACAATGGAGTGAAGGAGATGCCAGAAAATATGGAAAGCCTTTTAATCCTACCGTGAGTGAGCTCTAGCAAGAAGATTGGAATTTCTGTTGGCAGTAATGGCTTTTAGTTGATGTGCTCATCTTAAGGAAATAATGCATCTCTTGCTGTCCACCCTTGCATAAAGGAGTGAAGGTGTCCAAAGAGTGTTACCTTTTTTCCTTTGCAGAAAGGTTAATATAAAGATGTTTTGTACTGTATTGTTTTGGGTTTAGGCTTTTTTTGTTTGTATGGTTAGCAGACTTTTAGAAGCTAGATATAATATTTAACAGGAACCTATTTGTGAAAGGAATTTTTTGACTATTTAAATATTACATACCCTGAAACATACTGATGCCTCATATGGAAATAATGTTGTTGTTGATGACCTTATAATTTAAACCTGAAGTTAAAGAGAGAGCAAAAAACCAGAATAGACTTTGAGTGTGATAGCCCATTATTTTCGTCTTACATAAAACATATAGCATTTACTGTCCTAGGTGAAGCCAGTACGACTTCTGTGGCTTTTGTAGGAAACTGAAAACACTCTCATAGCTTTGCTAGACCGACAGTTTGGCAGAAATTTTATGTGATGCTTTCATCTATAATTCCTTTAAAAGAACTTTAAATTAAAGAGATTCAGACCATTCTGAGAGAGAGGCTGATTGGTTTGGGTGTCTTGTTTTTCTTCATGCAAAAGATCTCAATTTTATTATGATGTGGAAAAGAAAAATGCTTGAAACCTTGATAATATTTAAAGGATGGGAAATGGGTATTTTCTAAATCTTTACCCAAAACTTAAGGAGATATATAAGGTATCTGTACTATATTACACTAAATGCTTGGAAAAATGGTCCTGTGTATTTCAGTTGGGCTACCTAGAGATAATGGCTACATCTGACTTTTTAATCTCTTTTTGCTTTCTCCCATAAAATTGAGATAATAGCAGTCTGCATACTTGGCAAATAAATAATTAAGCAGTAGTTGAGTATCATAGCAATGATTACAGAGGAGGTACAGTAATTGTGGTTTTGTAAATTCAGAGCCACATTGCGCAGGGAGAAGAAAATATACTGTAGAATATCTGAGTTAACAGTATCCATCCTATGCACTGAAAAAGGCAAGGATCCTAATAAAGGAACAGTACATGATTAAATAATTAAAGATTGTTTTATGTGCATGGAAAAGCTTAGCTCAGCTTGGTCGTGTAATTTTTCTGTGACCTGTATCTTGATTATGTAAAGAAATGAAAACATTTTGATTTTCTGTTGTATATTTATTCATGAATATGTTTTGGCTCTGTAAACAGATGTGTTCCAATAGCTAATTTCAAAACTAAGAATTCTGTAATTAAAGAAGCAAGTACAGCCCCTGATAATTCTTAATCCTCAGGGAAGTGGTCAAGTTGAAGGGAAAATGCTTAATTAGTGCTGATATTTATGTGTTCTAATTCAGCCATTCCCACACTTTGTGTCCATTGCTGTGCTCCACTATTGTAATTACAAAATAATGAGGCCATTGTTCAAATTTCTTCTCCAGATCAGGGGGACATTCCAGAGCAGTGTGAAAGTGATGCCTTGCATCCATCTGGGGACATCGTCAATGGAAACCACGTCCCAGCCACTGTGCCAGCAACAGCCACTTCGCTGCAGGACTTAAGTGAGTTCTCAGCTCAGAAACAAAAGTGAATACCCTTTTTAAATGTCAAATGCATAAAACAAAAAGCCGAATATTTAACATTCTGTAGGTTTGTATGCTGGCGTGACTGAAAAATTTTTCCAGAAGTGCTAATTACGTAATAAAGAGGAAGGAATGCTTTCTTTTGCTTTACTGTATGAGGATGTCTTTTTCACCCTGGTTTTGGTTAGATTTGTTTTTAATTTAAATAGTTTTGCCACCCATCCCACTCCCCTGTCCAGCTTCTGGAGAGATGATTTTGGTTTTTTCTTTTCTTTTTAGGGTAATTATTAAATATTATTTCTGCTCTTGATAGAAATAAGACTTGAAAGGTTTGGGTTTTTTTAAAGTATTTTATGTACTGCTTGTCTGGATTTTTTTCATTTTTCTTGATTCTGTTCCCAAACTGTATTATCACAATGCTGTTTTAATTCTTTGGGGAGGTGAGGATGATTTCAGTGCAGCATATACCGCTTTTCTTATTGTTCTAGATGGAAACATTACGATTATTTGTATTAGGAGAAGAGCGTTCTAGCTCTTAACAATTCCCAGTATTTAGTTTGCCCATCTAGTTACTCTCTGAATGCCGTTCTACTTACACAGCTTTTTAAATATACTGGTCACATCAGCAGTGTCCCCTGCAATAATTTTCAAAGGTTTTTTAAGTACTGTGCTTTATAAAGAATTGTATCGAACCATATTGCAGAGGGGGAAAGAATATAGCAACATGAACTTCAGGATAACAGAGATTTAATGAGAAGGTCCATGGGAGGAATGAGAAGTGCATAGAGACATTTGTCAACTCTCTGGCCTCTACTTTGGCTCTACTGTTTAACTCTTGGTGAGTCATACATCAGACTAAAAATGCATAGAGGTGGGAAGAAACATTACCAGATACCCAAGAATAACTTTGGTGTATGTATAAACAATATAGCAGGTTGTTTTTCATTTACTACTAATGTTATTCAGGAACCTGTTACTTATTTGTATGCTACTGTAGTAGGTTACTGAACTACAGCAATCAAATCACAGATGTTGAAATAATTTTTCACAGCGGTGCTGGATCAAAGACAGTTTGAAGAACAGAATAAAGAAGTTGAGAAAAACTTAGAAGAAGAAAGGGAAGCAAGAGAAGAAAGGGGAGAGAGAGAACAACAGGAAGCTTTGGAAAGAGAGCAAAAAGTGGAAAAGCTTAACGAAGAGGTGGTGATGTAGTATTTTAATTTCTGACAGTAATGCAGCTTTGTAGTGCCATGTATTTTAGGATTGCTGTGTATGTTGCTTGGTTAAAAATAGATTTTATTCTTTAAGTGAAAGTAGTAGAGGCTAAGTTCCTTTATGTACTTGTGTGATTAACCAGAGAGTCTCGCTAGAATTTCTCCTTGTGCCAAGTAACTTTTTCACTGGAAACAGATGCTTTTTCTTCCATGCTTCATGTAAGTGGAAACTACAGTTTTATGGCCAGAACTTGGAAGGCAGCTGTCACCATGCTGTTGGACCGAGCCGTACATTCGCTGACTTTCTGGTCTGGACCGCTGCTGGTGGGACACCACCAGATGTTCATGTCCATCTGCTCTTTAGTCCATATCAGGGTATTTAAGGGTACTTTTTTGGAAGTAGAAGTTATAAGGAGACCTTAAGGAGTGGGCTTAAATCCCTTTGAACTGATGTCGCATGTGTTGAAGTAGTGTTCTGGACTTCTAGGGCCTGTATAAAACCTGTTTTTTGCTCCCTCCCATTTCATCTTCCTCTTCCCACCCTTAAACCTTGGTTAATTTGATTCAGTTTAGTGGTACTGATCAGACGCGCTCATGCTACCCTTTGCACCAGCAAACTAGGCCCTTCAAGAAACTCGCATACCTGTATCAGCTCATCTTCTTCAGTTCACGCGTAGATGTCGCACATAGAAGCCTCCGGCCTCACAGCACCTCAGACATCCAGACAGCGTTAAGAGTGGGATTTCTTGAATGTCACTTTTTGAATTGAAGCAATAGCTTAACATTGCATCTTGAACTGCATGTAACAAATTTAATGCTGTTTAGACTGGCAAGTTTTACCGAGGTTAACATGAAATCCTGCATGTAGTGCAGGTACTTAGGTATAAAGGTACTTTTCTTGAGCTGATCAGTATTTAATTTTGATTTTGTGTCTTAAAGTGGATCCAAGACTCGACGAAAATAGAAGAAAAAGATAAGGAGGGAGGAAAATTTGAGAACAGTAATTCCGGTGCTGAAGATGACTTAAAGGATCCTACTCCAAATGCATTAGAAAAATACATGAGAATAATTCAGCAGAGGAGAGAGCAGGAACTGGCAAACAAGGTGACTATTCTCAACACCCAGTCCCAAAACTATTATTGGCTGAATTTGTGTCTTGCTAAAATATGCTCAGAATGAAAACAATATTCTCATTCTTTCATTTTTTTTTTTTTTCTTCGTTCAGAAGCTTTAAGTAACAACCTGCAGAGATGAGTGTTCGGATTTGTATTGCAGAAATGTGTTGATTCAAAAGAAAAAAACTGGAAACTCTTTCTTTCACAAGTTGGGTTTTTTTTTCTGGTGTGCTGGGGGGGTGGTTGTTAGTTTGGTTGGTTTTTAGGTACTAGGACAGTATTTAAATGTCCTCAATTTTTAGTTTAAACTGTGTTTAAATACAGTTTGAATCTAAACAGGACAGTTTGTGTTCCGCTAACACAGCTGACAAATTTATTCTGGCAAAATGGAAAATTTGACCTTAAACAACAGGTATGTACATGGGTGAACACTACTTTGATGAAAGACTGCAGCATACTCTTGTTCTGACATTATCCAAACCTGATTTTCCAAAGTGTCATTACTCCAGATGCAATGCAGCATTTGTAGAAATAGGGGTTTTCTTTTCAATTAGGTGCCTTAAAGTACAGGTGCTGTTATTTAGAGTCACTTAAACCTTGACTTAAGAACCAGTTACAGATGGTGTTATTTTCCTGTTGGCTGCCAGGATTCAAAGAAAGAAGAAACAGGAGAAGTATCACTTACAGAGGGACTTATATCTAGTGAAAAGGATGACAGGTAAGGCTCATATATTGCTATTAATCACTTCTGGTACCCCACATTAATAAATAGTTACAGTATGAATTACAGTTAAAAGACATCTGCCTTCTTAAAAAGCAAAATAATCAAGAGCAAATATGTTGGAAAAATTGAGGAGCCTTCCAATTCTTAGACGGGGAAGTTATGCACTATATGGCATTCGGATCTGGGACCTACGCTCCGTGATCTGTTTCGATAGCTGTGGCAGCGAAAACCTTCCATCTGCCGCTGAGCAGCATCTCGGTTCCTTCACAGCGAGCTGAAGTACGAGGGATTCTTCTTGGGTAACGACCCTGTGAAAGTTGGTCTGTGCTGCACCTTGCAGGTAGTCTGGTATTAGCATCGAACCTAGCTTTGATTTATCAGTAGCATCACAGACTTTTAACAAACGAGTTCACAACTCTTTTTTTCAGAGATTTTTGCTGCCTGCACTGAGTTGCCACAGCTAGGGCATTCCCTCGGGGTCTCTCTAGGCGTCGGTAAATAAGGATGCGTAGTTTTTAGTTGCTTGATAGGGGAAAGAGAAAAACAAACCCAACCCCACATCTACCCTATCTTTCAGATTATCTGAAGATGTAGAATTGAAAATGTATGTAAGCAAAAAATACAGAATGGTTAAAAAAAAAAATACTCACACTGACTGGTAGTAATGATTCAATATTATCTGTGCCTTTCAAGTGCTGCTTTACACACCAGACCTTACCCTGGTGTCTGTCGTGCAGTGTTCCTTTCACGGGGCAAGCACTACAGAAGCTGTGGGTGGACAGCACTGCTCTTGACAGGGGAGCTGGCCCAAATCCTCACCCTTAGGGGCTTGCTTACATCCTTCACCTCACTGAAACAGCAGGAGAATTGCAGCATAGGGGGACATAAAATAAAGGCAGTGATTATATGCGGTCTCTTAACATGCATGGAACTTTAACTTTCTCTCTAAAACAAGTGTTTAAGATAAGAAAAGAAACTACTCTGGACTCATATCACTTTCTTTCCCTCCCTCCTATCCTTAATACAGCGCTACAGGCATTTCCCACGGAGAGGAGGATGAAAACTTCTGGTGAACAATAGCTACTGATTTTTTAAATTATTATTACTACTACAATAAAAATGTTATTAAAGCCACTGTCTACGATTGCAGGCTGTACAATTATAAATCAATAAAGGTGGTTTTGAGCCGTCTCATCACTTCAGTCATTGACTTCAACTAGTGAGCCCTGATGCCTTCTCAGTCCTGAAGGAGGCCCTCGAGTGGGACGAGAGACGGGACAAAACAGTGCAAAGGAAGGAATCGGTACGGTCAGGCAGATCCGCTTTGGCACGGAATTCCTATAAACTTTGACAGCTTTTCAAGTGGTGCCCGCCCCCCCAAGCCCTTCCCCTCCAACTGTTACGAACTGTAGGTCAACGTAACAGCACGCAGGTAACAAAAAATTCAATCATCACCACGTTTTTAAAGGTGTCCTGTAGCGACCCTTGGCTCGCGCAGCGTCAGAGCGCGACGGAACCAAGCTGACGTGCCCCTTTTACTGCTACGGCGGGGAAACGCACGCTTTTAAAAGCAGCCTTACCTCAGGTATCACCTCGTCGGTATTAACCAGCCCGGAATGGAGAGATTCAAATAAAAATGCTATTTAACTCATCTTTATTTAAGCTTTGTATTTTGTAGGTAGATTATAGGCAAGATCATTAAACTTTATTTACAGTATAAAATACAGTATTTTTTTTATCAATGAAGTAATTTTGGGTGGCAGCATATATTACAACTTGCACTGCATTTGAGGCTGCTCATCTTGACCTAACTACAAGAACATGAAGCCAAGTTTGACAGAATTTAGGGGCAAAAACCAAAGCTCTGTCTTGCGAACTCTTTGGCTGTTGAAACACGACGTACCAAAAACGTGACAGAAATAAACTTTGCTTTTAGAAATTAAGATAAAAAGTGATTGGGTGGCCAGTCTAATTTTATATGCTGCTTAATTTGGTGTTGCAGCAGTGCTGGCATTTAGGGAACTTCTAAGGGACTCCTCCTGTTTGCTGTCCGGAATGGGATGGATAGTGCTCATTGCATTATGCTGGCCTGGAACAACCACCACTACTTCAGGCTAGAAACACTCGCTGACTTACCACGCCGAAGCCTACACCTGCAGGGCGTCCTTTCCCCCAGGAGCAAATGGATACTACTGAACACAACGTGTTGAACTTCAGGTAGAGACATAAAGCACAGAGATGCGCTAGTATAGCGTAGCTGTAGGTCTGGTTTCAAATAAGCGTACACAAGTGTTGTCTATTATCTACAAATATTTATTTTAACACTTGGATGTAACTACAGGAAGCCCTTGGCACTGATAGAAAATATTGATTCACTGTTAGGTTACAAAAATTTATACATAGCAAAATTTAATGCTCTTTACATAAAAATATTAGACTACTTAAACAAAACTTCAAAAACTCCCAGTAATAGCTACACTGAATTAGAAAAGAATTAGGCTTTAAGACACTGCCTCCGTTATTACCCTTATGCAAACACTGGGCTAGAACATCACCTGCATTGCTGTAGAAATGTCTCCTTCATGCAACAGGTAGGAACATACACTAGGCTATTTTGTCATATTTGCTCTACATGGATCAACTTTGCCCCTTTTTTGAAACTGTCAAATTAGACTTCAATATTTAACAAAAAAAATGATACTTGAAGTTACTACCCCCCAAAATGCCTTTTCTCTTAATACTGACTTGAAGAAATTTGTGCTTCCTTTGACTTATATTCAGCAGTCGAAACTATCAAACCACATGTCAGCTTAACATGGGCGACTCGAATGTTTAATTGTTTCTCAAATGACTGATGTATTTTACTTTTCCCCCCAACATTTATATATATATATATATATCATATAGAACAAACAAACACCAAATATACCATCACTAATACTCAAGATATCACTGAATGCTTCTGAAAAAAAACATTTAAGTAGAAGGCAGACTTCTATGGGAAATGACTTTAAAATGGCACCAGTTTGTTTGTTTTTTTTCTGAACACCACGTTTTCTTAATGTGCTAATTAATTTGTAAAAAGGAAAACACATAAGCACTAACTATAAATTTGCTAAGCACCAAGATAGAGAAAGGTGGACATCCTGTGTTCTGTTTTATGGCTGTAATTTTTATTGTTTTGTGTAAAACTCTGCAAACTTTCTCATCCGCTCATTTGGAATAGTCAGATCAGTGTCATTTTAATAAGGTAACACTTTTCACTTACTTAAAATGTAGGATAATGGTCTCCTGCCACTATATAAATGCTAAGACATTTATAGAAAATAAATATTAAGGCAAAGCTGACATTTATTTTCAAAGAAGGGGATCATTATCCAGATCCGGGGATCTACATTCCATTAAATAGTTAATAAAAGGATTAAAACTTGGGACATCTGCTCGACGCTCACCTCAGCACAGGAGCGCGGCTGCTTCATCATAAAAAAGCGTGGCACAGAAGGAGAGCGCTGTTCCTGTGGCCCACAGAGAGAGCGGTCAAGGACGGCCCTGCTGCAGCGCAGGAACTGCTGCAACGGTGCTGTCACGTGAGCACGAGCTGTCAGAAATCTTAGGCGGCCACAGGTCCATGTATTTGGCATATGAACTGAGACGCTAAATCACACGCCGTACACGGGCCTTTGCCTAAGGTCTGCACAGAGATCTACTGCCTGCTGGTCTGGAGCACCTGCCACGGTTTTGTGCAGGACGTCATGCTGCAGAACATGTCAAATACTAAATACCAAAAGTCTCGAAGAAGAATAATTTGGTCACTTATTGTGAAGTGTTGCCTTTTAAAATGCCTGGAATAAAACCTCCATTCTCTGTATGAAAGGATGGAAGATTACCCGTGGGAAGATTTCCCTATGAATGTGTTCCAGGAGCTGGAATGTGAAGCTTTTGCACTTCTCTCTAATTTTGTTTGGTAGACACACATCTGTACTGCAGAGCAGCTATCTGTTGATTTGTCAGAGCGACAGAATCCTTCTGCTGAATTACTGTGGCAAACATTTATGTGTAAGAATTGAGTTGCTCTTTTGACCGAGACTGGATATCCTGAAGCTCCTGCTCTTCTTTTGCTTTGATATCTTGGTAGGCCTGCATTTTGCTCGCATCCTTTAAGTAGGCCCAGTTAGAAGACAGTATCATGAGGAAGTGGATCTGGAAGAGAAGGGTGAGCATGATGGCTAGTGAGCATGTCAAGAGGCAAAGCAAGCTGCTAGTTAGATTAATAGACACTCCTTAAAATAAGAACCAAAAAAAAGTTATTCTACGTTAATAAGCGTTTGGTTATTAAAACAAGCACAGAGGCTACTTTCAAAGATCTCTAGAACTTGGCATGCTAATGCTTCAGTTGGTTATTCACAATTTAGAGGAAGTTAGTAACAAAATGAGCTACAGAGTTGTACGGATCAATTAAAACGCAGAATGGGGGGAAGCAGGAAAAAAGTTTTGTACGTGGCAATTTATGGAGTCTGTAAACTACGAGGTGCTCAGAAGAACTGCTTTCTAAGCTTGTGGTGTTTATGCATATCCAAGCCCAGATCCTGGTAATTCTTTTCCCCCAACAAGCAGATGAGAATTCCACCCTCCCCCTGGAAAAAGCCTGAAACTGTAAACAGTTTTATTTACGTGAACAAGGCTACATTAACATATCGAAAAATTAAACAACAAAACATGAGTCCAAAACTAAGCAAAAGCATGCAATCTCTGGGTTAAGAAGTCTTAATCGTATATTTTTATAACTACCTTTTATACTTCCATTGTCCAACCTCAGGTGAAGAGTTTTATATCATATATAGCAACTGGTTTTTTTTCATTATTATTATTACTGTTGTTGTGTGGATTTTTTCTAGTTTGTGCATCCGTCTCTTCCCAACTTCTTTTCACTATACTTCACGCAAAAAATCCACATCTGAAAACACCGATTCACTTCTTTTTTTTAATCCCAACAGTGTAAAAAGGTCTCTATGACTTATGCATGGTTTTGCTTCACGTGCAGTCATACTTACAGTTTTGAGATCTGGCTACTGAGAAATCAGTTACTAAAGTGCAAGCCATACACGAACAGAAGCTATTTATACGCTGTTTCTTACTAGTTCAGGGTCCGAAAGAAAGAATGTGATTGTTTTACGCAGAGCTAATGCAAGGATGTATTTCCTTCCAGAGAGAGCATGATTTGGCAATTACTTGAAAATGAAGTAAAAGAAAATAATCAACTTGATCATCCATGCGCTGGAAGTACAACTAATTCGTAATACCTGGGCTTCTGGTTTCAGCCAAAAGAGACTGGCACCACTTTACTGTTCCTTTTCTTTTGGAGCGGATATATTTTGTATGCTCAGGGGGGTTGTATTTGGTGTTCAGGATGAAAAATAAATTAGTAATTCTGACCCTGAACTGTTCCAGTATTTGTTTTAGAGATGACTGTTAGAAAGCAAGTGGAGACTGGAAATGGAAACATCCCATCTTCAGAAGGATGATTTACAAACACCCCTGCAGTAACTGAATCCTCTCGACATGAAAAAATAGCCAGATCTCATCCACATCACAGTTCATATACAAGAAGTCATTTTATTAATCTGATAAGCTAAATGATGCTTACTGAAGCTATTTACAATTACTGTAACAAAATTCAGGAAGCTAGACTTTTAGCCTAGGGTGTCAGTGGTATTCAAGCTACGCAATGCAGCTCTGTACTGGGCTTATACAATTTAGAATTTAGTGCAGCAATCTTCCCGACTCTTAAACTTCAAAACAGCATAGTTATATGTAGTAGCCATCATGTAGATCAGCTGGTGGAAGAGAACAAAATACAGGAGGGTAAGATACAACAAGGTGACGGCTCAAGCCCATCTGGGCAACTGTCGATACTTTTACAACAGATGTTATTCTGAGCTTCTTCCAGGGTGAAGATGCAAGATAACTAACTTGCCATTCATGCAGAGAGGATAACCTACACACAGACCTAAGGCTATTCGGTCAACAAACAGGGCGTATTAGACCTGGATTTGGCTGACATGAGGTTAGAAGCTGGCAGCTAGAGGAAGCGTTAGAGATCGGAAGCAAGTCGCCTTGTTAACGTCCCTTTTTCCAACTGCTACCTGCAATTGGCATTGCAGAGTTGGACTAGTCAAACTGCCTGGGTCCAGACAAGAAAACCAAGAGGTTACAAGCGACTGATCAAATAAACTACAAAAATGAAAAGAAATAGTGGACATAAAAATAGAAATAGTGGACAGAAGTATGATTTTCAAAGGACATGCAAAGAATTTTACTCTAAGGATGGGGGAGGTGGATTAAGATGACTTCTGAAAGCAACGGTTCGGGACCTGCTGACCTGTAATGACCAAACCATAGCAGCAAATAACGGTGATTACAGCTCGCCCTCTTTTATGTCTAGTATCACTATTTTTAAGATACACAAAATTTAATCTTAAAGCATCTTAAGCCTGAAAGGAACACATTACACAATAAAACAACAAAAAATACTACCCACCAGTGCTATGACAGTGGCACCAGCTCCAGCACAAGCCACAATGAACAGGTGATAAGACATGTAGAACTAGAGAAAAAACACATTAAAAACATTGAAGTAATTGAGGATAGTATAAAATGCATTTCAGCTGTTCTAGAGAATAAGGATAATAAAATCATCTTCATAGCAAGGTATTCAAAGCTTTAGAAAATAAAAATGTTCTGACATAATTTTCATTTTTTGGATGACCTAACAGAACAATTTCAGTGTTGTGTTTAAATCAATCTCTTCATACTACTAGCATTAGTTTTCTCCAAAAACTTTCATCAAGTTATTTATTACACGGCGCCGCAGTGACTTGTAGGCAAAAGCTGCACACAGGTTACGTTTCTGTACCTCATTCGTGTTGCAGATGTTCTCTAAAATCGGGCCGCAGGCTTTGCCAGGTACAGCATTCCAAGGGATAATACCTGAAATACCACAGCAAAAGAAACCACTCATTTTAGCAATCAACACATGCTTTCTGTTCCTCTCTCATCTTTTCCGCCCACTTGCCAGTTGCGTTCCCATTCTGGGCATCCGCGCGTTGACCAGTACAGCTTTGAGTTGGTGGGAGGAATTCAAACAACTCACTCAAGTTGTGCTTTCTCCCTGTACCGAGGCTTGCTGCCAAGATGTGTTCTCAGATGTGGTTTTCCCATATGGCAGCCAAATGGTTGGTTGGGTTTTTGCACTTCAGGTCCAGTCACACACTGCCTACTCCCCCACTCAGCACCGAAAGGGATAATCTGCATTTCAGAGGTACTTGGCACCTTTCAGGATAGCACTTACTAGATTAAGTTCTACTTGAACAAGTAACTGCTGGAGAAGAGTGCAAATATGGAGCTGGAGGGAAGAATTACAGAAGGATTTTTTTCCTGGTTTAGTTCCAATAGGTAAAAAAGAGTTAAGTGAACACTGCTACAAGAAAATTCAGTCTGCCGCACCTCACAGACTCCCAATTGCTTTTCAGATTTTCAGTCGTGTAAGAAAAGTCAACAGGATCTAGAAGGTTTAAAATAACCTAAACTTTTAGCCCCATAACAGATGTAAAACTTAAGCAAAAGCCATTTGAAACAGGAGAAAACCAGTTTGTCTCCTCCATATAACTTGCCTTTCAAACTCAGCTGGTTGGAATCAGCAACTCTAAGAGGCAGGCCATTGAAATTATCTCAGGATGGTATGGCTTTCAAAAAGATTTTATAGGATTTACTCTAAAGCCAGCTTCTTCTCTGCAATTGCAATATACGCTTGAAGCCTTTTAGCTACCGCTTCCACCCAAAGATGCGAGGACAGTTCAGTGTCACAAGTCGCCTGTTAAGGAGCTGCTCTCTCCCGTCACTCACTGAAACCCAAATGATTTTACTGATCAGAGGAACAACACAGCCCTACACGGCGCTCGTACAGCTGTGAAACAACCAGGAGAAGCAGAAAGGTGGAGGAGCGCATCTTCCCCCTGCACTCCTAGGCTTTTGCTGCTGAAGAAAATGTCTTCCCAGCCTCTTGCTGTCAGTTTCTAAAAGAGGATACAAACATTTAACTGATTTGGGACTTCTTCCTTTTAAAATTAGTATATCTTATGTTCTCCTACTGGACTTACAGACCAGATAGGGAAGCAAAACCAAGCTTTCTTACTTTTTTAACTCTGAATCCGTTTTCTCAGCTTCAAATGACTTAGTCCAAAGAAAGAAAGAAAGAAAGATTCCTAGGAAATGCTAGCTGAAATGAAGCCAAAAGTAACAGTGACAAAAGCTCTTCTGCACAAGGGAAGCTGAAAGGATTCACTTCAGGAAAAATTCACCTTAAGGAATGAACTGTTTGAAAAGCCTGGCCCTATTTTAAGCTATTGTCCCTCTCCTCTGCTACCTGCACCCCGCTCAGATTTCTGTGTGTCATCAGAAAGCAGTATTAATTCACTAATAGTTAAGGCAGTTGCTTGCAGGTTTTTGGGCTTCTAACTGAAAGTGATTGTTAGAGCAAAGTTCAGGTGTTAACTTCATATTTAAATGTAAAAACAGCTTTTTGAAAGGGAAGAATATATGCATATGGGGGTTCAAAAACCGGAATCTGGTCATCTATTTCTCAGTGCTGTTTCTAAGCAGTTTATTTTGAGGCTGATCTATTTTTAAACCTAATATAGTATTGGAAACTGCTACAAAATCATTTTAGATAAATGACTTGCCAGTTCAGTTAAATTGATTGCATCTGGAAAGAGATCGGTATAATCTGAATTAATTAGAAAATTAATAGCACATTCAGAGATACAAGATGCTTTTGCATTTGGTTCATTTGATAAGGCTGAGACAAAACTACTGAAGACAGACCAAGGAGAAAGGATAAAGCATTTAATCAGGATTAAAATGAGTACCGTATTGCCTGATATCCACGCAGATCTGGTCCCCTGGAACTGTCACATTTGTCTGAAGAGATTTGATGACTTCGCAAGTTGACCATATGTTATAGAACATAAAGACAGGCACGGCAGAGAAGCCAAAGACCCCAAGCCAGGCCACTCCAAGCACATAGGTGAGGAAAACAAACTGGGCAGAGAAAACACAGGCACTTCACATTTATTCTTTGAAAAGAACACTTGAATTTTCCTTAAAAGTGTTTCAAAATAATCTTTAAGCATACTTTCAGAAATCAAGTAATAAAACATTTGATTTGCAAGCACAAATAAAATCAGTGTTCTCGTTGCTTACAAATACTTTGGTAGTTGACGTGCTACTGAGAAAGTAATTCAGACATTTCCTTTTTCATCAGCCTGCTTGAGTAAACAGCTTGCCCTCCTGAAAGAGCAGTCCATTAATTTCTCAAGATTCTCAGCTAAGCAGGGATGCTGGTTGTAGGCTAAACCCCATAAAACTCCAACAAAAATCAATTTAAGGAGTTTTTTTAATGAACTGTAACATACTAGCATTTCTATACAACTTGCAAATCAAAACAATAGAGTGAATCGATGTTTATGGAGCTCTCCTGTACTCCCTGATTTATTGAAATCAATTTTGAATGTAACATTTGAGAATACCTATTTTTGAAAACATACCACGACCGTTACAGCAGATCAGAAAGATTCAATTGATCTAATATACATTGCCATGAAGAAAATTAGTTACTTCACCTTAGAGAATCATGGATTTTTCATTGAAATGTTCTGGTTTGGGTTTGCTCTTTTAAAAAAAAAAAAAATGTGCATTTTCTTTGGTAAGATTATAAGGTATGGCACTCATTGCTTTGGAAATCTCCAGCTTCCCCCTCCCACTGGACCTCTTCCCTTTTCCTCCTCCTTCTAAGTTTTAAGGTGAAACAGTAGCTCTGGCATCAGTTCCTAGCTCCCTCCTCCTAGTGAGACTAGGATTTGGATCCTCCTTGGAAAGCGGGGGAATGCTGTTATATCTTGCGTGTTCCCTTTTCACTGTTACTTAACTGCAGGTGGACTAGAAAGGCTTTACTTCCAGCAAAGCATTGATGCTGTGCTCTCTCACTTGAAACTCCTGTGCCAGAGAAGAACAGCGAGGATGGGAAAGGCTCTGAGGGGGGAGAGGTTGTCTCAGCCTGACCCAGAACTGACAGACTGAACTCATGCTGCAGTGGTGGAAGTTTGCATCCTCGTAGGTGTATGTCCAGATGCGCTGGACAACACTGCAAACGTTATTGCAAAGGTTGAGGAACTGGTTAGATTTTATAGGGAATGAAGGTGGTTTGTGTGGGGAGTTGGAAGCACTTGCAAAACTAAGGCCCATAAAAAGCCCAGCTAGCCTTTCCTTTATACACAACTGAACTGAAATACCCTATTTTGTGTTAGATAGTGCTGTACACCAGACCTGTATGTTTTATGTGAGATTTGAGAATTGTCTCTTTGGATTTTGTTAAGGACCAAGTGGACCAGTTTAAAGGCTTTCTATAGATACACTATACATAAAATGTGGTTTTGCATACATATATGTGGAAGTGTGCATGAAAGGAAGTACATAAAGCCTTTAACTCCTAAAATAGCCAGGAAAAAAACACACTCACTCTCACATTTAATGCGGTATCTGTGGGAAATGGCTATTCTGCGTTACCAAAGCCACCACAAATAATTTAGGGAAGTTGGAAGCCTGTCCTCTGTAATAACCTTATGCAAGATGGAAGGGACTGCCTTTCAGGACCTCACTCGGTAATGTAACGGAGGAAGATGCAGAGGAGTTCTTGATCAAAGAGGCAAAAAAAAAAAAAAAAAAAATCACTGTATGTCCAAAAGCTTGTTGTCCGTACCCAGCTGCAGCCGCTAGTCTGTTAAGATATTATATCTCCTTGCAAACCTTGTTCTAACCCTGGTGTTTTAAGCAGCTCTACCACTACACAGCGGCATACAAGCATTTTTATGCCATTACTTGCCACCACTAACCACTGATATGTCTTACTAGAGCGCTAAGCCATTACTCAGCTGCTAAATTTTCTCCTTCGTTGTGTGCACAAATGCAGGCAAACATGAAAACACGTTTTCCTGTCATATTTCCATGTGTCACGCTGGTATTTGTATAAGCAGCTGGCAATCATGTGCCTGCAACTACTCAACTGCAGAAGCAATTGTCTGCACTAATGAGATGCAGGTATGTGTGTGTGTGTTTCTACTGTATTTTGGATCTTTGGAAAACACTGCTTTAGATCTGATTTTGCTCCTCAGTGAAGATCATACTTGCTAGAAAAAGAGCGAGCGGATAGCTGCTTAACTGGAAAATGATCAGATGTCTTATTTTTATTAGCTGTTGAAAAATTCAATAAATATCCAACAGCACAGTGGAAAACTGTTAACTCTCTTGAAAATAAACATGCATCTCCTTTGTATTTAACCAGCTGAAAGTACATATTTTTTAGGTACAGGATATAGATTGTATATTAAAATGCAACAATCACATCAAAAGCCTCTTCTCTTTTCACCCACACTTTCCCGTGGGCGATCTGTCATACTGCTTAGCGTCCTCCATAACTATGCGCTTTGAATTCAGAGTCTCAGAAATAGCTTTGAAACCCTGTCTCAGAAACATAGTTATGTTTCTGTTCTTGCAGAGTGCGCCTTAGGGGGCAACGTGGGTGAGAATCTGAAGTTTTATTTTTAGTTAAACTTTGTTTAAAATCTTGTTCTAATACAGAAGTATACTGAAGGGAAGATGGCTTGTAACTTTAAGGCTTTAAGTGTTTCAGCTTTGTGAAAAAGACTCACTATTGTATCTGTATGCCTTCTACCATCTGCAAAAGCAAGACAGCAATACTTGATTCAAGTGCAAAGATGTTGCGAAGCTTCATTCATTACTGTTTGTCTGAAGGATCCAGACATCCTCAAGCAGAATTGACTATGGAAGTCAGAGGCACTACAGTTTGTTATTTAAATAGCTCTGCAAAGCACAGCCATTTTACAATGTGCCTTTAAGCATCGCTAGTGTGCTCCATGGTTAAAAGCACAAATTTCATTTTGTCTCGCATTGAGTGTTTTAAAGTTAGCAGTCTCCATCAGCTTAGTTTAGACCAGTGGGTTCAGCTTTATGACAGGGGAGGCCATGGTAGCACCCCGACAGTCCCTCTGCAGAATCTGGGTTTGACCAAGCATCCTTGAAGTTCGAAGAAGGACCAGCAACAGGGACTGACTCTAACCACCCATAAGGACTTAAACCAAGGTGGCAGCAATATATTGTTGTTCAAAAACACAGGAGTCAAACCGAGCCCAACAGGTTTTAACAAGCAAAGACGACTGTTCCCACTTCTAATGCTACTCACCATTCCACTGATGCAGCGGCCACAGGCTGTCGTTTTGAACTCTCCATGCAGCTCCTTCACAGCACTCGTTGTATAAAAACCTTCTGCCAAAAGGATTATTCCATATAAGAAGAAAAATGATGCAATGCCGTAAATTACATACTGCATTAGCTGTATTCTAAAATGGAAAAGAAAAAAAGATATAATTAGATTTTAGTCCTATAAAAACAGTGTCAGTCCTCCCAAATCATAAGAGGTATGAGATAGCTCCCTTCCTAGAAATACAGTTCAAGGCTCCTTAATGCATTTTAAGCAAGCAGGCTGCAGGAGAGCGCTGATACAACTATCCTGCTTCCACAGGTAAACAATACTGATGTGCATTAGTATTGCATCCGCTCGAGCATCCCGTTTGTGCTGCAGTTCTTACACTGACTGGTATCAGTCACCAGCTTGAAGCTGCAACTTCATGCCTCCACTATGGAGACTGGGGTTTTTTTTCCTGTTATTGATCCTGACACCTAACTCAGGGAACGTCTGACAGGGACAACACAGGGCTTTGAAATGGCAAAGGCTGGAGCTGAACTACTGGCTGAATCATCTGTGGTGATTCCTTTGACTTAGAGAAAGGAAGCAGTCTCTGAAAGTCACTATTTCCACCTGTAAAATCCAGTTAATGTATGTTTGCAAAAATTTGCAAATTCAGTGATACTTCTCTGATACAAAACTCAGCAAAGGTGCAGAATTAGATTTTAAAAAAACTGAAAAAAATACTTAGGAAAATCTTCTATTTCAGGTACTCCAGAACCATCCAGAGGAAGAAGACTGCAGGGCACATGGCATAGGCACTTCCCTCGGATACAATTTGGTAAGGTTCTCAATTCCTTAAGAATCTACCATCTGCAATGACACTCTTAGGGTATTTTTACTCTGGCTAGAATAGGTAAATGGAAAGAATAATTTCTAAATATTATCCATCAGATTCAGTATCTGAACCTGACTGTGCCGTATCTTTCATACAACATTTCTTCTGGTCTCCAAAAGATATACTTTGTTATTAGCGCAACTTCTCCAGAACTTACGCCTTCTTAAAACTAATTTGATTGTTGGCATGGTTATTCTGGATGAAGCTATTCAGAGAGAGGTTAATTTTATACATCCATACTGCCAGTTTTCTAAAGCTAAATATATTTTTCCTCAAATGTTTTTTTGAATTCTTACCACTCTCCACTAAGTAGCTGCTAGCATACATGTACATCTCCAAGGAGCATCTGCATATTTTAGCTTAATTTAAAGAAAACTGATTACTACCATTTATATAGTTAAATGTTATTCAGACAGATAGCACACCCCTTGTATCAAAATAGGACATTGCTCATTTAAAATTACATGTGGGAAGTGCTATGTTCATTTTCCAAACTGACTAAAAATAACAGGATAAATCTGATGCACCTGTGCTATACAGCATGAAAAAATTAAGTCAGTGTTTGAGAGAACAGAAGAATTCATTTCACCGTCATTAATAGTCTAGGAGGAACTCGATGCATGTTACCAGAAATTAGTAATATGAAACCTGGTTAAAAATCCATTCCACAAAGGGTGCCCTACTAGTATATTTTTCATTTATTTTATGTGTCTTTGGCCTTAAATTATTTGCCCCTTTCTAGGACCACTTCTCCCTTGCCTTGTTAGACCTCCACAGAGCCTAAGGCCTCAACTGCATCGGTAGGAATTACACATTTCCCCAGCTGCTGATGCTGACTTGACAAGAAACGTTGTCAACAATTCTCCAAAATTCAAAACTTGCTGCCTGTTACGGCTACTTTTGCGATTTCTTCTACTTTGCTCAAACGAAGACTGATACAAGTACAAGGGTGTTTTGTTAGTTGCTGAAAGAGTAGCTGCTTAGTTTCTTGCTAAATTTTGTGGGTAACTGCAGGGTCCCTGTGGCTCAGGCACTGGAGCTGGGGACACGGCACCCAGCCACAGCCGGGGTGGGAGGCGCTGGGGGGATGCATGGGGTGCAGTCCCGGAGCTGCGTGGCAGGTCCGGGCACAGGGGGTCCTGCAAGGGGGAGAAGCCCCGAAACGGTACTGTGGGACTGATGCCAGTGCTGCCGGGGGACGGGAAGGGGGTGGTTGTGGAAGCCTCAGGCTCAGTGCACGCAAACGGGCCCACAAGCACATGCCACGTGGGCCCCCTCTTCACAGACGCACGCGGCCTGCACAGGGACCCCCACCCAGAGCCCTCAGCGGCTTTCAGCAGGTTTTGGCTGCCCTTCCTCACCCCCTGCCCTGGGATGAAGACATCTCCAGGAGCCGGCCGTACGCTGTGCCTGCGGCCGGTGCTGCCCCGTGGTGAGCAGCGGGCAGGAGGCCGACCCCAGGCCCAGTCAGCACCTGATGCCAGTGCGCCGTCGTCACAAATCGCAACTCGAGAAAAGTTCCTCACTGCCGCTGGACAAAAGCCTTTTCAAAACCTGGTGGTCCAGCTGGAGGGGCCGCCTAAGGTCCAGTGTGTTCGGACCACCGGCCCAGAGCCTGGGACCCGCAAACCTCTCAGCGTCAAAGGGAACAAGAGGCTGGCACTGGTGGGGCTGGCACTGGGTGCGGGCTCTGACACAGGCCTCCAAGGCCTTCCTCTGGTATCACGGAGAAGCCTCAGGAACACAAAAGCCCCAAATATTTCACCAGTGGTTACTTCTGAAGGCTACAGTCACAGAGACAAACATTTAAGCTCTTTCCAGTCTTTTCTCTCTTTTTTCTTGTTTGTACAATACCTGCCCACCTTCTCCTGAAGGGGTGATGGACAGAGCAACGCTTCCCAATTACTTGTGTCACTAAAATAACTTCGTAACACTAAATCTACCCTCTTTCAGATTAAAACTTTTGTCACTTGTCCTGTCACTACAGGCCTTGCTAAAAAGTCTATCTCCGTTTTTTTTTATACGCCCCCTTTATACATTGAAAGGCTGCAATAACATCTCCCTGGAGCCTTCTCTTTTCCTGGCTGAACAACCCCAACTCTCTCAGCCTGTCCTCATAGAAAGCGTGCTGGCCACACTTCTTTTGATGCAGCCCAGGACACGGTTGGCTTTCTGGGCTGCAAGTGCACATCGCTGGCTCATGTCCAGCTTTTCATCTGTCAGTACCCCCACGTCCTTCTCTGCAGGGCTGCTCTCAACCCATTCACCCCCCAGCTTGTACTGATACCGGGGGTTGCCCCAACCCAGCTGCAGGACCTTGCACTTGGCCTTGCTAAACTTCATGAGGTTCATGTTGGCCCACTCCTCAAGCCTGTCAAGGTCCCTCTTGAGGGCATCCCTTCCCCTCAAGCATATCAACTGCACCACTCAGCTTGATGTCATCTGCAAACCTGCTGAGGGTGCACCCAGTCCCACAGTCTACATCATCAATGAAGATATTAAATAGTATTGGTTCCAATATAACCAGGTTAAGCAGGATACACACTCTGGTTCTCTGTGTGTAAACACCAAAAAACCAGAGTGCTGCTGGACAAACAAGCAACCTAACACTCAGGGATGGAGACTGAGGTTTGAATCCATCTCTACTCATTTAGCATGAGGGTGTTATGAAGAATAATGGAAATGGGAAGCATACTTACACTTCACTCAGCAAAGCATGGTCGCTGGCAGTCGTGGAGAAGTGCTGCTCAAGGATAGACACGGTTCCCGTGAGCGCCACATGGCCACAGCCACAAAACAATGCTACCCCCGAGAAGCAAAGAATGGTTGCCACGAGCGAAGCATATGGCACTCCTCCTAGGCACTTAATGCAACATTCAAAGCAACCTAAGCAGAAGAGAGAAAGCAAAAGAAATGTTATGAGCAAAAAGCAAATTATGAGGAAAAGAACATCCGTCCTTCACTTGGTAAAAGCCATAGGGACTAAAAGGCATTGACGTGAGAAGCAAAAAATCTATAGGTGGTGCAAGACAGCATCACCCTCTAAAGCAGTGACCTACAGATCTGTTGGTATGGACTCAAAGCCCAGAAAGTGGACTGAGTGCTCCTGTCTTTACAGGATCAAGAGGAGATCAATGAGACAGCCTATGAAATGGAAAAAGAAAAAAATGACTTGTCTGAAGTGATCCATTGTGATCCAGCTGCTCATACAGAGCTCACCGCGTTTCAGCATTAGTGATACTAACAGCAGGAGCACTAGCTATGCTGGCACCACTCACGAAGCCAGAGAAGTAAATACTCCAGCCAATGAAGCCTTCTAGAAAAGTAGAAGATACTTTGCACTTTCACTGGAAGAGGAACACTTTTAGGTCTGCAAAACTTAACTACCCTATACTCTCCCATGACTCCTGAATATCTTTTTGTATAAATCCATATAAGGTTTTAGGGATACAGATATTTTAACAACAGAAAAATTGAATGGGGGCCAAAGAGTAACAATTTTTCTCGAGAGCAGTGAGATGAACCTGTATTACACAGACAATACATTCCCAGCTCTATAGGATACACTGGATTTACAGTGAATACAGTCTGCAGTAGCATAATCACAGTTTTAATGAAATGTATCATTTAAGCAGTCTGAGTTAACAAAACACACACCCCCCCATAACTACTGCTCTACAAACACTGTAATAAGGAGGTTGCAGCTGAATTGCCAGGTTCGTCCCAACCATGTGGCCTGAAAATCCATCTCCTTGCAGAGCTGGGAAATGTAAATCGGAAACAAACACAGCTTTTAACTGCGCTATAATGGTAATGGCAATCCATACCGATTCATTACTTCAGGGCGATAGCATTAAGCTGTCTCCATTAATGTGCATTTCATACAACTGCGCAAAACACAAGCCATTAAGACAACGCTTAATGGAGCGACTCGCGTTGCACGTCGCAGGAACAGCCCGCTGCTTCTACGGGAAGGCGCTAAATGGACAAAGCATTTGAAGGCAGGGAGACAGCTGGCGAACGCGTACATCTCATCGCATCTTCCCGCCCCAAGGATTCCTCACAAAGATCAGCAAGTCTCCATCCGCCACATGAGGCAAGTTTATTTTTATCTCCCTCCCTTCCCACTAATGAATGAGTTGCAGAGCAGGCACTTCCGTGAAGCACTGGGGAATAATAAGCATCCGATAATTGAAAGCTTTCCCATTTCGTAAGTGGGAAACTCTTCTTTTAGAGAGTCACTAGCAAGTGTCCTAGTCTGGCTTAAGCAGCTATCACCACCAAAATGACTTATGAAATGCCACTTTGCTAACTGCAGACAAGATTTAATTGTACAGAAACAAGCCTGGGAAGCTTTTATAGTCAAGCCCACAGCTGGAGTCCACTCAGTAGGAACTATCTTTATGACAAAAATATTGCCAAATGAACAAACACTGCAGTTTAGCAGTGACGGGGCAAACAAACTCCAAATGCACGCTATCAGAGGAAATCATCTCTGTGTTTCATTTTATCACAGAGGTCCAGAGTCGAGTTCAGACACCAGACCTTGCAGAGCGATCCTCTGCTTTGGGGAATCTGCCCAAGTGCAGCTCACGAGCCACGTGCAACAGCAGTCATACACGTGAGGCAGGCTCGCCTCCGCAGCATCTGCTCCCGGGTCAGGTCCAAACCTCCAAGAGTTAATCCAAGAAAGGCTTGCACCTGGCACAGGATTAGCAGTGAAGGGTTATCCAAGAGTAACCATGCTCTGATCCAGCAGGCAATGCTCAACACACATGTGGCCACAGCCCAGCACAAAATGAATGGCCTTTGAGGCCGCACTCCTAAAGGAGAAGGTGACTAAACGCTAGATCTGTGCTTTGTGTGGAGGTTGACCACCTAGTCATGCTGATCCACAGATTGCTTCGCAGAACGATCCCACCAAAGACAGGAAATAAAAACAGTTGGAAGCAAAGCCAAGGGACTGATGAGGTCTGAAAGAAAAGCTGCTGGTTTCAGAAAATGGTAGCAGCCTGCTTAACTAAAAATTGGTGTAGACCCAGGATTGACAATTAACGCCCCCCAACTAGGTACCTGTCCTCCTAGTAACCCCACACAGCACAGCCAGCTTTCCAGACCACTGGCAGAACATTCACCCTGGAGAGTTTGTCAGATCCCTTATCCAAACACATGACAATATCTGCCACTAACCCACAGACCCTCGAACACAAGCCAACAGTGGCAAACCCCCTCTCACCTCCCATCTTTGTGGCCATACTCTTTACGTCTTCCTCTACAGCCCACATAAAAAGGCATCACAATATTTGCGTGGCCTTCATTTTATCAGGGCAGACCGCAGCCAAGGGTGGTCTTGCTAAGAGGTGTCTAAAGCAACCACGCTGTTTTGAGCAAGGCAGAGAAAACTGCCCAACTGTGGAAGTGCAGAAACTACTCACGTCCGCACCGAGACTAAATCAGGAAGCAGAGGGACTTCAGTTCACAGGGCAATGGCGCGCTGCCAGCTTGCAAGCGCAGGACGCATCCCAAACCAGCATGTCTCCAAGAGACAGTGCCCATCCATACATCGTCATTCTGCACCCAAATTGACAGCAGAGCTGCACAGCCTCCTGCCAGAGGGTAACTAACTGCGGGACACAACCTCATCACGGTGCTGGGGCTGCCAGACCCCCCCCACAGATCCCACGGTGAACGCTCTTTATGAGCAGCTTAAATCCATGCTTAGCCTAAGCAATATAGCTGGTTTTGTAATTTTGTTTCAAAGCAAGCCTAAAACAGTACTGCCAAGAGCAGCTTTGAAAACCAGCTAAAATTTGAAGCTCATCAAGCATGCTCTAAGATATTTCCAAGCTTCCCAAACAAGCACTGAAGCAAATCAGAGGATTTCTGAAAAAAACGAAAGCTTTACAGGAAATCTGCTCTATGATCTCTCTCTGTAACCCCAAGTCAGCAAGTATCTTTATACAGTACAACTGAAAACCCATGATGATGTTTGCCTAGTTGACGTTCACAAAACAACTTGCTAAAGCAGTGATGACAACTGCAGGCTGAAGGCCTGTGAACTCAAGTCAACAAAAATAAGGTAGTATTAAAATAAGTTTAGTTCCAATTTTCTGCTAGTTTTTACTTTCCATATGGCCAACACACTGAACTTTTCAGCTGTATATCCACTTCCAACACAACAGTGTAAAACTATTTAAATATGAAACCGTACAGCACAAACACACATCACTGCATCTCCCCTTTCAATGGCCATTTTGTGCAACTAGAACCTTTTGTGCAACTCAGCAGAATAAAAACATTTTTTGTCCTCAGGCTGGTGAGCAGCAGTTGCCATGGAGGCAGGTTAATAACAGCCCAATGATTTGCCCAGAGCTGCCTGTGATCTTGGCTACAGATTTAACACACTCTCAGAAGGAGGCCAACAAGGACTGAGATTATTCTCTAGGGAATGAATGCTATTAAACACACACACACACACAAAAATATTCTTGCTAAAGGACAAAAATAAAGAGAAGAGAAAAAACAGGAACCAGCTATTCTTTTAATCTCCTGGAAACTATCAGTCACAGGAAATTGGTAAAGGATGAACCTACATATGTACACAAATCGGCAATTGGTTGCTTAATGTATGAAGAACAATTATACAATCTACCCAGCAGTGTACAGGCTATTGCATATATGCAGGGGCTTAGCCATTCAATTTCCCATGTCAAATGGCAATTGTGTGGCTAAACCTTCCTTGGTACTTTAAGTACGGCTTTAAGATTTAAACTCAGAAAAGCAAGGTAATGCAGAATTAATGGAAAGCAGTCTTAAAACAAAACCAAAACCAAAACCCAAAAGCAATTCTAAGACTCTAACTCATCCTACTAAGGTCAAGATGGAGTGGAATGACAAAATCTGTGCTTCGGCAATGACAAAAGACAATGCAATGGGATCAGGTAGCTGTCTTGAGTATTCCCAGGGCTTGCTCTAGAAGTTCACACATCAGCTCTTGAAGCCCAGACTTGAAAAGCTGAGACAGATGCACGTTCACAAAGCTGTCCCTCAAACCAAAGCATGGAAAACATGATGTAAGGGAGGAGTGTCCACAGCTCCTGGACAGAAAACCAGCCTGTCTTCTGATGTCCCAAACTCCTCCTAGGTTGAACTAGTGCCTCAATGTATCTCGGGTATGAACCATTGATCCCATAGTCAAGGTCACTACGGAACAAAAAAACAAGGAACAAAGAAAACCTGAAAGGGCGTTTGAAAAGCCTTCTATTTCAGGGAGCTAAACCTCCAGGCTCCTGTGGCCGTTTTCTGAGTTAGTTCCCACTCTCTTTTCCTTAGAAGTTTCGTTTCTTCCTGTCCCATAAATCTGTCTTGCTGTTCTGAAAGATGAAGCAATGGGCACCATTTTTTCTCCTCACTTACGTCCTGTAATTGTGCATGCATTTTTAGAAATCCTGGCATGTTGGACACCTGTCCAGTTAATATGTGGCAGAAATTATGCGGCATGTTCCACCACAGAACCACGATCTCTGTTGGCTTCAGCATCACAGCTCAGGGAGCACGTGTGGAGGAATTGTTTTAACAAGAAGAAGGTCGCAAGAGACCCCAGGAAAGAAAAAGCACTAGGTAACATCTTAAAGGAAAGCAGTAGGTAACATCTTAAATGCAGCCATCGCATGTAAAACAGACTCATTATTACACATCACGGGAGCCTAGTGTTGGGAGCATTACTCCCAATTCACAAATAAATATAAGAGGAGAACTCAATACTTTACATTCACCTCCCGTTTCCCCAGTGCTGAAGACTGCCCAATACCAAGCGTGCATAATACCATTGGAGTCTTCAACCACCATGGATCTTTGTCGGAAAACAAACTTTATGTCAATGAAAG